CACCCTACAAATTAAGACCCCCCCCCCCACCCCCTGAACAAACTAAAAATTTAAAACTTACCAAAGAATAATCCTATCTGAACAATATAAATGAAACAATTCCCAAATAGGTGCAACGTTCTCCACGAGTATCTTATACAATACGTCCTCGAAGAGGATAAAGGATAGCAAATACATTGAATCAACGCGTGATTTGAAAGAGACACCTGCACAAGGCTGGAGGCTCGCCAAATAACTGATAGCGTGGGCGTCGCGGCTTCGAAGACGACGTCGAACGATCCAAGTCGAGAGGGGATGAAGCTCCCCTGGCTTCTTGTTCTATTGGTCGGAAACCGATTGTGCGATTCGTGCCTTCCTCCTCTCCGCTGTCTGTTCTTCCCGATCGTCCTATTGCCGGTATTAACGAGTTACCACCTTTTCCGGTCGACCAGGCGTTAATGAAGATCTTTTCTACGGGCAAAGCCGCGAATTGTTGCACCGGTTGCTCATTCCCTCTCAGTTGCTTTCGTTCATGAGTTGTAGAGGGAGACTCAAGGTACCAAAATGGTGGAGATCTACCACGGAGATTTAGGTCCCTTTCGTAACAGACATTAACCTGTTAACTGGGAAGGATGAGTTAAATCGTGACAAGGATACGTTGGAGGTAACAGTTTATTTACTCAGACCCTTGGTGCTCTTTAAGGCATTGTTTTATTTGTTATTACGAACACATGTTATACTTACGTTTGCCAAAAATTAACGATCGAACTAATTAAAATCCATCCATTTTTACTTCTTTCTTGTTTTTAATGAATCTTTCACTTTGTATCTCAAGGAATTTTATTTTAACGAAACGATTCAGTTAATAGGTTAAAGCTGTTGGGTTGATTAATTTCGTTTAATCTGTTATTGATTTTCAGGTGTCGTCTTTGTTAGGTACTGTTCTTTGGATTGGTAAATTTTGAGGGGATCTGAAAATAGAGAATTGTTAATAATTCTGTATTATTCCAGACACACAGAAGAAGACAGTAAGGATTCTAAGTAAGTTCAACAAGGATAAAAAATGTGTGACTGGTTTTTTTTAAGATGAAGATAGCCTTGGAATTTTTATTCATAAAAGAATTGTTCTTTTCTGTTACCTGTTACTGCACCGTTCTTTCTTGTGAACAGAATTTCTTAACATGTTTACAAGTACTACGCATTACATGCACAACATCCAATAGGTATACTTCAATCGAGCCTTAACTCTTCCTCCGTGTTAATGCACATTAAAAATCTCATCACGAAGCTATCTCAAAATCACCTCTAAATAATCACATTGGAACTTTCTTGAGACAACTATTTACATCTGGAGTAGTTACGACTTAAACGTAACTTGAACGTAACGTACTTACGAAATTAAACAGATTTATCCTAATCGGACAATGGCCCCTTTAAATCACGATGGTCAACCGGAAGTGCGTCCAAAAAACGGTTGTTGGTGCCCTTAAGGAGGATGAAAATGTGCTGACACAACTATAGAAAGCGTTCCACGAACTAGGAGGCTCGATCACGAGCGGAGGATCCCCGGGTCTCCGTGACTTCCGGTTCTTGGTAGCGCGCGACTACGCGCGTGTGTCAGTCGGTGACCGGATATGGCGAAGAACCGACTGACCAAATCGTTCGACGAAGAGCCGCCGCTTCGTATAGCAAGCTTTTCATGCGAATCACGCGTTCCCCTGTACCAAATACCAAGCTCGTATCGGTGACATCATACTCCGCGTTGTATACCTGTGCCAGCGTGCACAGGTGAACGTGTGCTAGAGTACAGCTGGGTAGAACGATGTCGTCGTTTTCGACACGAATCTTAGTCTCTTCTGGCAGTCAGTTATCCTTAACGACGATGGAAAAGATTATTTAGTCATTTAGAAAAAATACGTGATACCTTTCAATTTCTTTCATATTTCTTTTTCGTGTATACTTATTTCTATCTTTCCACGCGAGGAAAGAAGATGTAATTTTATGTAATGCGTAAAAATTATATCTATCCGTTGTTTCATTTTGATTAGATATCGTTTAGGTGGATTTAACACTAAACCTGCTGACCTGTAATATATATATTTAAATATTTTATGGATAAACGTTTAATTATGGTCAGGCGATGGAGATAAATATGTATATACAATCACATTTTTATCTCAATAAAGTCAAATTAAAATTTTCCAAAAATACTTGCGTGTTTTCGATAACTGTACAAAGAAATTATAAATTATCATTTTAATCTGTTTCATTTAACCCTGATGTTAAATGCCAATTTCTGTTTTCGTTTTAAAAAGGTTTTTATGTTATATTTCATATGTTTGTATTCTTTGATACTTTCTTTAATTCCTATTTATTTTCCAGATGTCCCTTCTGATAAGATTTGTTGGATTCACTGATAGTACCGAATCAAATTAATACAATTAACATCGTTTCATTGAAATGCAATTTTTTTCATGGATCCGAACAAACCTTCCTCCATCTATAAGCGCCAACCCTGGAATTCCACTAAATAACATCAATGGCAATTACTACTACTAGTAACATTAAAGATGTTTCTGGGACCTAAATGAAGACTCCATTCAATTTTCCATCGTGGAAAATAAAAAGCCAAAATTACGAGGACGAGGAAAAGATAGTAAAATCCAACGAATCAACAGGCAGATAGAGGAAGATTCGCGGAGAAAGTGATCGTAGGGTTCGGTGATTCGTGGCCCATCGTGGTTTTCCTTCTGTTCATCCTTCGTCACGGTATTCACGTGACGGTAGTGGAGGAGGGGGAAAAAAGCCATGGAAGAATAATTAATCAGTAAGCGAGCCACGTACACGCGGATGCATATATAAGACCATAGAACGTCGTGTACTTACACGAACGAATGAAAGGAACGCACGTATGCACGAGCTGCGTACCATCCATCCGGTTCTGGATATTCGGATGCCTAATTCTGTCCTCTTAGGAAAGTGGACTGACGGAAATACAAACTAC